CCTAGGAGTTAATTTTTAGATCTGATACTCGATTCGTTTAGTTTGGAGAAACGAATATACAGGACGATGTCATTTTCAAATTAAAAATCCATTTTTTTTCAAATTTAACGGAAGATTACTACCGAATGGTTCAAGAATCTGTATTGAGGTTCATGCATTCGATTCCCTGAAACTTTCTAGTCCTACGAGTTAATTTTCAGATCGGATACTCGATCCGTTTAGTTTGAAGAGACAAATATACAGGACGGTGTCATTTCCAAATTAATTTTTTTTTTTTTCAAATTTAACGGAAGATAACTACAGAATGGTTCAAGAATCTGTATTGAGGTTCATGCATTCGATTCCTTGAAGCTTTCTAGTCCTACGAGTTAATTTTCAGATCGGATACTTGATCCGTTTAGTTTGGAAAGACAAATATACAGGACGGTGTCATTTCCAAATTAATTTTTTTTTTTTTTTCAAATTTAACGGAAGATAGCTATAGAACGGTCCAAGATTCTGAATTGAACTATTTGATTCCCTAAAATTTTCTAGTTCTACGAGTGAATTTTCAGACTGGATACTCTACCTGTTTCGTATGCATAGACGGATATGTTAAATTTAGAAAATATTGTTTTTGAACGTAAATCCAAAACGTTTAAAGAATCCGCATTATGGAAAAGTTTTAGCAACTTTTTAGCCCTACGTCTACGAGTTAATTTTCAGGTTGGATACTTAATCCGTTTAGTTTGGAGACACGAATATATAAGATGCTGTAATTTTCTAATTAAAAGCTTTTTTTGTTTTTTCAATTTAGCAGAAGATAAGTTCAAAACGGTTCAAGAATATAGATTGGAGTTTAGAGTATTTAATTCCTTGAAGCTTTCTTTCTAGTCCTATGAGTTAATTTTCAGACAGAATACTCGATCTCTTTAGAACCTCGTGACAAATATAAAACGATGGTATGTATTTCCGATTTAAAAAAAGTTTTTTTTTTTCAAATTTTACTTGTCATAACTCCAAAACGGTTCAAAAATCCCCTTTTGAGCTTCAAACATTCGATTTTACGAAAATTTCTAATGTTACGTGTTAATTTTCAAACAGGATACTCGATTCCTTTAGAATGGATAGACGAATATACAACGATGGTATGGATTTCCAATTAAAAACATTTTTTTTTTCAAATTCTATGGGTCATAACTCCAAAACAGGCCAAAAATCCGCTTTGGAGCTCGAAACGTTCCATTTTTCGAGAATTTCTAGTGCTACGAATTAATTTTCAGACGGGATACTCCCAAACTTTCGATTTCTCGAAGATTTCTAGTTCCACAAGTTAATTTTCAAACCGGATACTTGATCTGTTTAGAATTGCGAGACAAAATATACAACGATGGTATGTATTTCCAATTTAAAAAAATTTGTTTTCAAATTTTACTTGTCATAACTCCAAAACGGTTCAAAAATCCACCTTTGAGCTTCAAACATTCGACCTTTTTTAAATTTCTAGTGCTACTAGTTAATTTTCAAACGGGATATTCGATTCCTTTAGAATGGAGAGACGAATATAAAACTATGGTATTTCCGAAAGAGAAAAGTCTTTTTTCAAATTGAACGGGTCATAACTCCAAAACGGTTCAAAAATCCGCTTTGGAGCTCGAAACATTCCATTTTTCGAGAATTTCTAGTGCTACGAATTAATTTTCAGACGGGAAACTCGATTCCTTTAGAATAGAGAGACGAATATAAAGCCGTATTTCCGAATGAACAAATTCTTTTTTTCAAAGTTAACTCCAAAATGGTTCAAAAATCTACTTCGGAGTTCCAAACAGTGGTTTTTTCGAGAATTTCTAGTGCTACAAGTTAATTTTCAAACGGAACACTCGATTCCTTTAGAAGGAGAGACGAATATAGAACAATGGTTTTTCAAATGAAAAAAACCTTTTTTTCAAATTTAACGGGTCATAACTCCAAAGCGGTTCAAAAATCCGCCTTGGAGTTCCAAACTTTCGATTTCTCGAAGATTTCTAGTTCTACAAGTTAATTTTCAAACCGGATACTTGATCTATTTAGAATTGCGAGACAATATACAACGATGGTATGTATTTCCAATTTAAAAAAGTTTTTTTTCAAATTTTATGGGTCATAACTCCAAAACGGTTCAAAAATCCGCTTTGGAGCTCGAAACATTCCATTTTTCGAGAATTTCTAGTGCTACGAATTTTCAGACGGGAAACTCGATTCCTTTAGAATAGAGAGACGAATATAAAGCCGTATTTCCGAATGAACAAAGTCTTTTTTTCAAATTTAACTCCAAAATGGTTCAAAAATCTACTTTTTAGTTCCAAACATTGGATTTTTTGAGAATTTCTAGTGCTACGAGTTAATTTTCAAAAGGAACACTCGATTATCATTCTTTAGTATGGAGATACGAATATAAAACGATGGTATTTTCAAACGTAAAAAGTCATTTTTTTTCAAATTTAACTAGCCATAACGCCAAAATTGTTCAAAAATCCGCTTTGGAGATCCAAACATTCGATTTCTCGAAGATTCCTAGTCCTATAAGGTAATTTTCAGACCGGATACTGGATCTGTTTAGTATGGAGAGACGAATGTATAGGAGGACATTATCTCCTGATTACTTAAATATGAAAAAAATCTTTTTTTCCAAATTTAACTGCACATAACTCCAGAAGTTTCAAAAATCAGCATTACGGTTTGGAAAATTCAATTCTGCGAAACTTTCTAACCCTGCGAGTTAATTTTAAACCTGATGCGTTTAGTTTGGAGAGACCAATATGCAGGACGGTGTCATTTTCAAATTAAATTTTTTTTTTCAAATTTAATGAAATATAACTCTAGAACGGTTCAAGAACATAGATTGGAGTTTAGAGCACTCGATTCCTTGAAACTTTCTAGTCCTGCGAGTTAACTTTCGGACCGGATACTTGAGACCTTTAGTATGGAGAGACGAATATATAGGAGGATGCCATCTCCGAATTATCATTTAAAAATCTTTTCTTTTCAAATTTAATGGGTTATACCTCAAAACCAGTTCAAAAATCCTATTTGGAGTTCTAAACATTCGATTTCAAAAAGATTTCTAATTCTAGGAGTTAGTTTTCAAACCGGAGATTCGGTCTGGTTAGAATGGAAAGACGAATATAAAACAATTATGTATTTCCGAATTAAAAAAAAAAATAAATAAATTTTACGGGTTATAACTCCAAAACGTTTCAAAAATCCGCTTTGGAGCTCGAAAGATTCGATTTTCGGAGAATTTCTAGTCCTAGTAATGAATTTCCAAACAGGGTACTCGATTCCTTTAGAATGGAGAGACGAATATAAAACGTGGTATTTTCGAATAAAAAAAGCCTTTTTTTCAAATTGAAAGAAGGATAACTCCAGAACGGCTCAAGAACGTGGATTGGAGTTTAGAGCATTCAATTCCTTGAAGCTTTCTAGTCTTACGGGTTAATTTTCAGACCGGATACCTGAGCTGTGTAGTATGGAGAGACGAATCGGTGTCCCCTCCGAATTATTTAAAAATCTTTTTTTTTCAAATTTAATGGGTTATAACTCCCAAACGGTTCAAAAATCCGCTTTGGAGCTCGAAACATTCCATTTTTCTGAAATTTCTAGTCCTACGAGTTAATCTTCAAACCGTATATTCGATTGCTTTAGAATGGAGAGACGAATATGAAAAGCCATGGTATTTCGAAAGGAAAAAAATCTTTTTTTCAAATTTAACGGGTCATAACTCCGAAACGGTTCAAAAATCTGCTTTGGAGGTCCAAACATTTAATTTTTTGAAGATTCTCGATCCGTTTACTATGAAGAGACGAACATATCGGACGGTGTCATTTTCGAATTAAAAAACAGTTTGTGTTCAAATTTAACAGACGATAACTCCAGAATCATTCAATAATCGGTATTGCGGTTTAGAGCATTCATTTCCTTGAAAGTTTCTAGTTTTACTAGGTAATTTTCAGATAGGATACTCCATCCGTTTAGTATGAAGAGACAAAAACATAGGACGGTGTCATTTTCGAATTAAGAAATAGGAGTAGTTTTTTACCAAATTTATAATGGGACATAACTCTAGAATGATTCAAGGACCTGTATTTGGCAGAAGACGAACATTAAGAAATAATTTCCTAATGAAAGAACAGTACTTTTTTTCAAATTTAACGGAAAATTACCCCAAAACGGTTCAAGAATCCGCATTGCGGGGTGGAGCAATCAATTGGTTGACACTTTCTAGTCCCTAAAGTAAAAATGTGGATTAGAATAGTAAATTTTGTACATTTTAAACAGTGTTTACTTAGCAACATTTCGAAGTGACGTCAACAAATTTGTCGTGGAAATATGTAATCAGACGAATTATGCTTATCGTTTTAAAATTTCACAACAGGCAACTTTTTACTTTTTCATACTTTAAGATCTATCAAACACCTAGAAAACTTGAAATTAGCCATTCACGAAATGAACCCTATTGTAATCACGGGAAAGTAAAAAGCAAACAATGGTCAACAAAGTCAATATTGATCCAGCAATCTCGAAATCTTTTCGACAAAAATATCAACCTCCTTACTAGTAAAAATCCATTGAACACAAAAGTGCATATGTGTCAAGAGCCGCATTTTGAGCGACTGCAAGCTTCGGCTTTCCAGCACCTCCGACTGCCATATTGCACAAATTCTCATGCGGTTTTTGCCACTACTAGAAAGTAAGTATTGTCAAGACCACGTTGGTCATTATGCAATTTCGTCTTGGCACGTTTTAGAAACTCTTAGCACACCCACAACGAACTCCTCTGTGAGCAGAATTTTCCTCTTCGCCGTTGCTGACCCAAATTTCCTCGACTTTTCGTCCGAAATTCCCTCGTATCTTACCCAAATTGTACACACATACTTGATTACCGCCAGCTTTCTACCTCCGAGCCTTTTCAATAATACAGGTGAGCGTGTGTTAGCAGAGAGCCGAAGACAGTTACTTATTTCTTCAGTGTTCAGCAAGACTCCGCGCCGTTAAAGTGAGTGACTTGAGCGCAACAGCGAGCGGGAAAATATGCGAAAATTCAAGTGATTTGTAATTTTCCAAAGTGACATCTCACCAGTGCCCGGATCCACACAGTGTCCCAAAATAGTGATTTTTCCGCGGAGTGAAAATGTTACAGCCGAGGGGGAGGAGTGTCACCCTAGTGTTTTTCACGCTAGTTCTTTTCTATAGTGAAGGTAAGTGCGGACCTAGTGGCAACCCTTGCGCTGCTCCAGTCGGAGGATCGACTTTCCTTTGACATTTCAGAACTGGATTATGTAAAAGTGGTCGATTTTTACAAAATTGCGAAACGCTCCATCGAACTGTACTCGCGCAACTGTGTTTGTAAAACGGACTCTTATAAACAAAACTATGAATAATTTGGCTCATTCTTTGGATAAGACATTTTCGGTATTATCGGGTACCGTTCGCGTTACACAACACCTGTTCTTTTTATTTCAGTTATGTAAAAATATTGACTTTCTGACAACAATGCCTGAACAAGCGGACAATAATTGAGATGGACATGTTGTAATGTTTACAGAAAAAAGTGAAAGAATTGAAGCGTGCAGTCTTTACAGTTCGTGGATTTTTATTATTCAGATCTTGTCGATTCTGTGTAAAATTGGACACACGGCTTTTTTAAATGCGCCCACACTTCAACGGAAAGAGTTTTTGGGTTCGTGCTGTGAGAGAAAAAACAGTAGAAATGACGGTTTGTTAAAATTACAGTCTTTCGAAGTAAATCAGATGCTCGATGTGCTTGAGGAAGACTTACCGTAACGTTTAATACGCGTCGCAATTATATTTAAATTAAGTACAAATATAGTGTTCCGAATTGGGGCTTCCGTGACGTCAGTCTCCGACGATGAAAACCTGTGAAGCAGAAATGCATTCTGTATAATAATTATTGTAAATATGCCAATAACGTTGCAATTTAAGTACGCCGCAGTCGCTGTAACCTCCTTTTAGGATTTTCTTAGTAAACTAAACATTTCAACAACGATTAAAAATAGTCCGAGTTTTATTTTAATTGTTATTACAGAGTCGATAAACTGAAACTGTTTCACGCCTTCAGTGGACTCAAAGCCATTTATTTTACCTGTGTAGGTGCCATTTTAGATCAATTTGACAGCAAAAACTGTAACTGGCATTAACGCGCCCCGAGGACGCAAAACCTATAACATATTATTATTAATTTCGTGGAAACTTAACTTATTCCCTTGGTCAAGACGCCAAAAACGCAATTATAATCCATTTTCGCGCAGCTGATTAAGATTCGACAACATATTTCGAAATGAATATTTTACTCATTGCACCTCATTTCCAGTCACTTATAATTATGACTTGCGCAATTATAAATGCAGAAGCTAAAAACATCGGTTTATTTTGGAAATGATGTCACAAATTTACTAAAAGATCGTCGTTTTCGTTGCTCAGAGTCAAGGCCGTTCATTGACAAGGGTGACTTCAATCACCAAAACAAATGAATAAATCATGCAAAAATTTTAAGTGGGCTGTGGAGGAGGTGGCATCTCCGCACACAAAAATTCTTTTCGAGGAATTAAAGAGGAGTGTCGCATCAAGTGGCTAAACTAACATATGGTTTTTACAAGATAACCGGCTTTTTGTGCGTTTGACAAAGTTGTGTGTCAACTGTTTAAGTGGCTGACTTACTAAGACAGGTATTTGGCGTTCGCAAAACTGGAGTTATTTCAAAACGTGAGCAAATAACGTCAATGTGTTCTGAAAGCAGGATATTGAATGTCAGGATATTGTCGGGCTTAATAAGTCTTTAACGGTAGTTAATAGACGTATGTTTGCTTTAATTAATTCGAAGTTAAACTTCCAGAAAAAAGCGTTTATGTCTGTTTAATCGGCGTGTGCAAAATTTTGCAGTTGGATGCTTTCGCACAACATCAAACAGGACGGATTTATAATACCTAATCCACAGCTTTGGACGCGAAAATGGGAAAAATCATTGGTTGTTGAAACTAGAGCAAAGAAATACCTTCCAAATGAATATTCAAAGTTAGCTTGCGCATGTAAATGAGCTTAATTTATGTTCAAGTGCTTAAAAAGTTTCGTTTGGAAATTTCAATGTTAATATTGTAATTAACAGCCGTCGATTTCAAAGACTAACAATTTTTTACGACAGTCACTCTACTTTTAAATCGAAAGTTAATGTTTTTAGTAATGTGGTCTTCACATGATCATGTTCACTGAAAAAATGTTCTACTTCTTCGGAGAAAAATATTTAAACAACTTATAAATTATTTCTGATAGCAGTTTAATGTTTTAACGGTAATTCTTTGAAGCAACAATGTATTACATTTTTTCTAAGTGTACAGGTTGCTTTGAAGCGAGAGACAAAGATATATCTGCTAAAATGGCTACTGAACATCTGTTGCTGCAATTAGGGTTCTTCATACTCGTATTAAAAATTGCTTGAAATTAAAAGTAGATTTGCATTTTTTCCTATTTGTTCTGATAGATTATGATCGATTACTGGTTCGAGAGGAGTAACTGGTTGTAAGAGGCAATGATGCGCGGTTTAATTACGTGATTATCCGCTTCGTTTTACAATTAGTAGTGTTATGTAATTATCTATGTGGTTTAGTTTAACAATAAAAGCGGCACTGTTATGGAACTAATTTTTATTGTAATTGCTAAATTTACTATTATTGTTGTTCTATCCAGCACTGTTACACGTAATGACTATATTCTTTTTATGTGTATTTGATTTCGTGGATAAACTAATCTAAAAGACGTCCAGATAGATATAAAGTAATATAAAAATAGAACATCAATTTGAATAAAATAGTAAAGCATGAATAATGATCAAGTTGATTTAAAAATAATTCCATAAATATATAAATGAAGAAAGGACGAAATAAAAAAATATGTGATTTATAACCAAATTTTAATAAACAAAAAATACAAGTTTTGTACCAATAGGTGCAAAATGACCAATATTGTGATTAATTATGAAAATTCCTATATCTGTTTGTTCGAAAATGAGTGTTGAGTGGCTAAAAATTGGCAACGATCGAAGTAACCGAAACAATTAAAAACATAATGATTTGAAATTTTTCAGATGAGAACCAAAATTTAGTTTTAAGAAATTTAAAAAGACATTAATGGAATAAAAATCGGACTATTGACTATAGATTTCGAAGCGTAATATGATACATAAATACAACAATGAATAATTGCGATCACATTGCTATTAGAATCGCCAATGTTTGACTACAAAAAAATCGAAACAAATATTTAAGTTTATTCAAAAATAATTCGATAAATAAATAAAAAAGATGAATTTTCAAGAAAAATTCCTCCTTTTTTTAATGGAATTTTTATTAATGAAAATAAATTATAGTAAGTCACATATCTGTTTATTCAGGAGTTCAGGGTCCTAAAGAATTGGTAACAGTCGAAATAACCGAAACTAATTAAATATATAAATGATTTGAAATTATGTATTTCACATGGTAATTTCTTGTAGAAAAGTAAGGATTTTACAATTAAGGTCCGCCCCTCCGCTTATAAGAATAAAGAAAATCATCAGAATTGAGACGGGGCGGGTGGGCGGGGCTTACATTTTGCCTTTTTGTTTTAATATGTGTAGACTTCTTTTCACAACATTAAACTTAAACTTGTTCTAAGTTTTTTGTTGTGAAAGATGGCTATGTATATTGAGAAAAAAAAGGCAAAATATAAGCCCCGCCCACCCGGCCTATCCCAATTTTGATGTTTTATATTTTGCCTTTTTTTTGTTAACATGCGTAGTATTCTTTGAACAACACAATACTCAAAAACATGTTTTCAATTGCTTATAAAGAAATAAGTATTTTGCAGTTAAGCTCTGCTCCCTTGGTTCACGGCGAATAAAATAAGATCATCACAATTGAGATAGGGCGGGTGGGCGGGCTTACATTTTGCCTGTGTAGACTTCTTTTCACAACATTAAACTTAACACTTGTTTAAAATTAGGCTCCGCCCCATAATTGCAAAATCCATATTTCCTTGTAAAAATGTACCATTTTAACCATGTTCTAAATTTCTTGTTGTGAAAAGATGACTATGTATATTAAGAAAAAAAAGACAAACTATAAGCCCCGCCCACCCGCCCTATCTCAATTCTGATGATTTTTTTTATTCGTCGTAAGCCGAGAGGGAGCTTTCCGGTTTCAGACTGACAAATAATTGTCCAATGAAATGTTAAATATGCCAACACCATTGTTTTAAACATAAATTTCATGGTCTTCTTGACAACTTTTTTTTCGATGATATTGGACTTAATAGCGACTAGAATTTCTGGAAAAAAAGGTCAGACTTTTTAATTTTAATCAATGAAATAAATTGCTTCATATTTTTTTTATTTACTCCGTATAAATAATTCTAGAAAAACAGGAACGAATAGAAAAATTACATGCACACAGAAACATGGTTTCCTGAGAATTTCAAATAGCATTGATTTTAGAAAATTTTGGGGGTGACGGCAGCAAGTTTTTGGCAAAGACAAATAAACTACTTTGAATAAATATAGTCCAATACTATATCGTTTAATAAAAAGTCGTCTTTGAAATTTAATGTAAAAAAAATAATGTTGGCAACACCAACGAGTTCCAGTTTTACCCGGACAAATAACTGTCAAATAAAGTGTCAAATAGCTGCAATGCCAACACCATTATTTTAAAAATAAATTTCAACAAAGATTAAGCCCCACACATACCCTGATTTAAATAGTAATGAAATAAAAAAAAAATCACAATTGAGATGGGGTGGGTGGGCGGGGTACATAGTTTGCCTTTTTTTCTTAATATTCGTAGTATTCTTTGAACAACACGATACTCAAAAACATGTTTTTAATTTGTTGTAAAGAAATCAGTATTTTGCAGTTAAGCTACGCCTCTTGGTTCACGGCGAATAAAAATATCATCACAATTGAGATAGGGTGGGTGGGCGGGCTTTCAATTTGCCTTTTTGTTTTAATATGTGTAGACTTCTTCTCACAACATGAAACTTAAAACATGTTTAAAATGGAAAATTTGTATAAGGAAATATCGATTTTGCGATTAGGCTCCGCCCCATAATTGCAAAATCCATATTTCCTTGCAAAAATGTACCATGTTCTAAGTTTCTTGTTGTGAAAAGAGGACTATGTATATTAAGAAAAAAAAAGGCAAAATATAAG